CACACCAGGTTTTCAACGTTCACCCGAAAACGTTTACACCACACAATATTAGTTTTTAACGCTCACCGATTAACGTTCACAATCTCATAATGTAACTACACGTACAAATACGATCTCAAGTGTTGGCCTCTCACGTATCTCCCTCAAGTGTTAGGAATTACAACCTACCTCTAGGCATTACCACCTACCACACTCCTCTTAGGACCGATCACGTCTCTCACCTCTACACTCCTCTTGATGTACTTGTGCAATACAAAGTAAATCCTCACAATTAGGCTCGCAAACAACAAATGGTTTGTTCTCTAAATAAGGTGAGAACACAATATAAACTCACACTCTAAGTCACTAACCCACAACCCTAAATTATACTATGTATGTAAATACAATAAGCTCAATGGTTGTGTGTGAACAAAGAGATTTAAATCAAACAAACTAAACTCAAATAAAATTCTAGCTTATGGAAATTATGAACAAAACAATAAATAGCTAGAAATAGAGTTTAGAAAAACTTCTCTATAGATCAAGAGAGAGAGAGAGATGAGTTGAAGCTCAAACACCAAATGATGATCTTTTCTTCCTCTTGTGAAAATATCTTCACAAACAAAACTTGTAAATACACTAAACAAACTTTAAAACACTCTTTAAACTTGTTTAAAAACTTTCTTAATTAACCTCATAAGTATGAGGGCATGAGGTATATATAGGCTCATGAAACAACGCCAAAAACCAAGAGAAAACATCACAAAAAGACAAAATAACATAAATTAAAATTTTTGGAAAACTAACCGTTATGATGCCGTCGGTCGACTGATGAGTTGACCGTTACAGGGAAAACTGGTAGCTCATCGGTCGACTGAAGAACACGATCAGTCGACTGATGACCTCATCAGTCGACTGGTTAGTCGACCAGAATAAAATAGAAACTTTTAATTATTCCACGTGCAAAGCACGTGTATACTAGTATTTTATAATATCGGAAATGTGAGATTTGTGTACTAGTGATTTGCATGAAAACAATAAGAATCATGGTTATATCGGAAATGTAGGGATACATATATACTATTTTATATGGGACAACAATTTCTTCATTTATCAAAAAAACTTTCAAATTTTTGGTTAAGTCCATGAAAATTTGCTAATTTCTGGGAAATTTTGCTAATTTCATGGTACACACAAAATCATGTGATGGATAACTTATAATTTAGTCGAAAACGATCAAAATAATGAATTATAGTCCATAAAAATTTAGTAATTCAAAGTATACATAATATACTCTTCGTGGAATGACAACTTATGATTTGTTAAAAAAACAACCAAAATCATTAGCTATATATAGTCCAAATTTTTTTTGTAATACCTATAAACTATTCTATGTAGGATAATACCTTGTGATTTGATTGCAAACTACGAAAATTATGGATTCTAATTCATGAAAGTTCTGAAATCTTGTAGCAAATATGAAATTAGTGTGCACCCCTCCATTTTCAGCTACAATAATTCTGTATTTAAATACAGTTTTTATAAGTGCTATAGTAATATTTTTTAAATGTTACAGTATCCCACCCGAGGTACAATAATAATTTGTTAATTTTAGAACATGTAAAAAGTATCCTTCAAGATGGCAGCTTGTGATTTTCTCTAAAAAAGTCAAAATCATGTGTTACCATCCATAAAACTTCAAAACGGGGTTTTTCTAATAACATCTTATTATCAAAGGCAATTTTTTTTTGTAACATCAAAACTTAAAGAGGATTTTCTTATATTTTGAAAATTAAGGGAGGTTATATGATAATAGTCCAAAGTTTTTTTTTGAAAAGGATAATAGTCCAAAGTTAAGGGGTTTTTCTCCTGATATTTAGTCTTTTTACTTTCCATATATACAATGAAACTAGGAAGGGGAAAAAAACTATTTATCGCTATTACTTATTTCACTACAGTACTATATTTGAGTCTAAAAGTGCCCCATTTAAACACTAGGAGGAATGTACGATCATTTGTACCTAAATATTTGAAAATAATACTGTATAGAAAATGTATTTGTCATGACTCTATTGTTGATATCATGATCAATTTGAGGTCTGTAAATACTAAGCAATCTTTCATCCTTTACGCCATCAAAACATTTAAAGTAAAATATAATCGGTGAGAAATGGCTGCCAAGAGTCTTATTCGTTCTACTGTTGATCTCTCAGTTGTTATCCTACTCCTCATGTTTTCTTCTTTTTCTAGTAAATTAATTACTCTTAATTTCAGAAGTTTATTTTGTTCCCTGGTCTTTTGTTTCAATCCTCCGTGGTTTAAGAATTAATTCAATGTTCATTGTTTCAATCGTATATAGAAGTTTGCTAATCTACTTTATGCTTTTTATTTTACAAACAATAAATAGATATAATAATTCAGATTCTGTAAATGAATAACCATGTTTCTTTAATACATTCACAAGTGTTTGAGGAAAAATAAACTTGAAATATGCTAGAATAAGGTCCCCAAGAATATTAAGAACTGCCTACAATAATATTGAAACAATAAAAAGTGTACCCCAAAAACATAAAATAACCAATCTATTCCATTACCAATAATACCTATGACAAATTTATTTAATCTGCAAACACAAATTATTAAGGGCCCAAAATGAAATTTGCACGGTCCCGCGCACGGTGGCAACGTAATGAGTCGATAAACAAAAAAGAACACCCGACTACCGCATAGAAACCTCTATACGGGACAGTAGGATCCATTTAATAAAAAACGGGTCAATTTTGTGGACTATAGCCCAGGGAAATTCGAAGATTTTTTAGGTCGCATACGTTTAGTTATGCGGATGGTTGTATAAAAATATTACAAGCTTATTTATGAGGTGCGATTTTTTTTCGCCTTCCCTCTTTTGCCGTTTCTAGCTATTCGACGGATCTTTTTTTTTTGAAAGTTTCGAAGTACTAATACTAATACAATGATACATTTATTATGTGATAATTATTGAATCAAATTCCGTTTTATGTAAAGTGTTGGTGAAATTATTGCGCCATATACATAGTATCTATAGATAAATTATGAAGGTGTATTGCATGATCCATCCTTCTTTGTGGTAGTAGATTCTAAATTCGATAATAAACTTTTTTAAAAAAAATTACCCTTTACGTATATACTCTCATTGTCCGTTTTCTATTTAGACCCTCGTGTAGATTTAAGTTTTCCAGCTTATGAATATGTACATGCACACTTGATCATGCCATTATAACATTATATAAATGTGTCTATGTTGCCACAAATTTTATGATACTTGATATCACAAATTTTATGATACTTAATTAGGAGGAAAATTGCCAATCTAATGGCGAATGGTGTCGTAATTAATTAAGGTTGGGGCTGCGCTTGGCATCAAGACATAAATATATCTTATTCCATGTAATAAGCTAGAATTTGTGTCACATTCCACAAATAATATTGAGGCAACTATATACTAGTTTCTGCTTATATTTTTCTTCTTCAGTTTGCTCATTTATAGTTTGTCTTCACTGATGAGTTGGTAACATTAAGCAGAGTTAAATATAAACATGCAACTAGATTATTCTAAGCAGAGTTAAATATTAAGCAGAGTTAGGTATGCATAAAATATTCTATAGTGGAATGGCTACTTCTGATAGGATCAGAAACAGTCAAAATCATGAATTATAATTTGTTTACACATAAAATTTTCTAAAGTGGAATGACAACTTTTGATTGGATCGAAAACATCCTAAATCATGAATTATACTCTGTATACGCATAAAATTTTCTAAAGTGAAATGACAACTTTTGACTGGATTGAAGACAAATGAAATCATGAATTATAGGCCTTTGAATTTCAGAATTTTTGAGTACGCGTCAGTCAAATATTTATGCCGAATTCAATTTGTGATTTCATTGAAAATGATCAAAATCATGACTTTTAGTTCCAAAAATTCAAGAAATTTTTTAGGACCAAAGATATTCTATAAGGCCCCGTTTGGCAAGGGGTTAAGCAGGAGGGATTAAAGAAAAGGGTTAACTTAGTTAATCCATCGTAAAGGGTTAAAAAAATTCTAAACCTGTTTGGATACGATAGTTAAAACAAGGGGTTAAGTCTTTTGTGTTTGGCAAATGAAGAGGGGTTAAGAAGATTAATCTTATTACTTTTTTTAAAAAATACCAGTTTCGTCCTTATTGGAGATTTATAAATAATTACCTCATCAAAAAAAATTTAGGCTAAATAAACACAGACTTCTCTTCTGCTGCAGCGTCAATTAATACCATTATCCAGGCAACCTTACGAATTGATGGAAGCTTACTAATAAGAATGTTAGCCTTTGCTTGGACAAAGGGATGCTTCACCATGGTTTCGTAGATTGTCGAGGGTCGAATTGAAGCAAATCTTCTGATGAAGATAAAGAAATCATAGTAGTTGTTCATGCCTGTTAGAATATTCCGATATATACAACTTTTATTAAAAAGAAAGTGTCATATATATATATATATATAAAGGCAACAAGAATAAACAATAACATGCAAATAAATAAACATTTTGTTCACCACCTGTTTCATTTGCGTTGTGTTTGGATATAAATGTAAATCACACTTTTCTGGAGAAAGGGGAACAATATACAATTTGGATACAACAATTTGTATTTGGAATGAATTTTAGAATTTCATGATTCATCTCCAGAGATTGATAAGCAAAAGTCTTGGCACATGTTGACGACTATTTTCTTTGCTCTTAGTATCTTCCAGCAGTATAACAAAAGAAAAATCAAGCCTCCAGGGGGTAAAACAAACTTCTATGTCATTCAAATAAAGAGTTTGCAACCAATTATTTCTACACAAACAAGTTTATAATGTCTGGTTATCCCTCGACGAGAAGGGGAAGTTGTTCGAGGCAAAGGATCATTGTCCTTTTCAGAGGATGTTTGAGAAGGAACTACAGTTGAAGAATCAAGACATATTAATGCATCTGCAGCATGAACAACTCCTTGAAGAATCAAGACATATTAATGCATCTGCAGCATGAACAACTCCTTCCCTAACAAAAATCTTGGAAAATGTTCCTGGAAGCTTCTCCATAAAAATTTCAGCTATCTGAAGAGCAAGGATCAAAACATGAGGATCTTTCCATGCCAGAACACCTGCTAGAAAGCTACACCACAAATAACATACATTCAGCACAAAGTTCTCGAGCTATTTTCACAATCTCTAAATATCTTACATAATTTAAACACATATAAATGGATCACTATCTGGATATATTTGTTACACTAAGTAATGACTGGATCATACCAGCTAAGCTGAAATACATAAGCTTTCCAATTACAGATAGACATTTATAGCGAACTGGACCATTGACGCTGGAGCCATATATCTATTTAATGAAAAAAGATATGAATGTCAACTGAAAACATATAACAGCAGTTGGCCATAAATAATAAATAATTTTTCAGATATTCAAACGAATCAAACCTGTGTTAAAACAGGAAGCAGGTCCAGCCCAAACTGTTGCAAAAGTTCAAGTTGATCTTGCAATGAAACTTCATCTGTTGATATGGAAGTCGTCAGGTTATAACTTCCATCATTGATGTTTGATGAGGATCATCTATCTGTAATGATTTTTAGACAGCCTACACCTACATGTATAGAAAAAGGCATTAAGCAAGGCTATGCATTAAGACATGACTACACACATATATATTCAAAAGAACTTTCACCTAATTACTTTAAAATTCAAAGATTACAACGTCCTACAATCCCACAAGATAATAAGTGAAAATATAAAGGAAAATAAAGATGTCATTAAAAAAGGCATGAAAGTTGATTTTTATGAACTATATGAAAAGTCATTATCATTTGTAGATGGACTACATTGCAAAAATCCTTTTTTCCTTTCCTAAATTTTTTGTACTAGATTAAGAGTTCCGCTTTTAATTAAGCTTATAATAATCACAACACATTCTTTTCAATACTTGAAAATAAAAAAAATTCAATGCTACAGTAATCTCCTGTTCTAAGTTATGGACGAAAAATGAAAACAATATGTATATAGCTTAGTTGGGCAGAACATGATAAACTTCATAAGTTTCTAAAATGTTTTCTACTAAGGAAAAAAGTGGTGTAATTGTTCATTATTGTAATCTCTGAAAAATATCTATATAATCTTAATTTAACTTCATAAGTTGACAGCCAACATTAAACTTAGTCTTATATATGTGATATATAAATTCTAAAAGCACAAGCATCAATATAATTAAGCAAAACTATGAAATTATCAAATGAGGTAATTTTGGTCCAAGTTCTTAGTGAGAAATTATAACAAACACCTTTGGAACGCCAACTAAACTTGAAGATTCTATACAATGAGTGAGAGAGTAGCCAAACTTACTATGCCTACATAGACCTACATGCCTAAGGAAAAAAACAAATGATGGAAGAGCATTGAAGCTTAATAAGACGAGTAATGAATAAAATCAATAGCATAAAGATAAGAAGAAGAACCACAAACTTAAATTTCAAAGAAAATGAAACTAGTAATATCTTTAAATATATATTTCCAATGCAAGCAATTTTTATTCATCTTTCTCTCAATAAAGTAGTCAAGCAATTGGCATATCAAATAAGATAGTACTTCTAATTAAAAGTCTCATACTAACAAGAAATAAGATTTTCTAATTATACCTCCAACCCTCTCAAATTCCAATACGCTCACCAACAATTGATAATATATTGGCAATCTTTAAAGGGAATAAATCCAGATCACCAAAATCATAAAAAGAAAAATCAAAAGAACTAATCTCTAGAATGAATACATAATTTTCAGATCCAAATCGAATTCATGCAAAAATAGTAGTTATCGACTTGATGACAAATAAGATTTAATTTTTTTTACCATGGTGAGAAAAGGGCAAAGAGAATCAAACTCTAGCATGAAATTCATAATCGAAAACCTAGAATGAAACGAGAAAGGAGAAGGAGCTTACCGCTATGAGTCGACAAACTAATCATGAAATTGATCTAAGCAAGTGAAGAGACCTTTGTCTTTGCAGGGGGAGCCAAGCAGCGGGGTTTCTCTGGCCGGAGATTGGGTAAGGTCGTCGAGGTCCCCGCAGACATCGAAGGTGAGCTCGGCGTGGAGGTTCTGGAGGTTGTAAGCTAGTGAATGGGGGAAAATTTTAGCGGGGAAATTTTAGAAGGAAAGAAGTGGAAAATTTCCCTCACGAGATCCAGATGAAATAACTCCCATGAAATAACTCCCCTCATAATTCCTTCGTCTACCCTCCCGTGAGAAGGCGGAACAAGCCTTGTTCCGCCTTCTCACGAGGAATAGTTATCCCGTGTTGTGACGGGTTAAATGGGATAAAACACTCACGTGCGGGTTTGTTAACCCTTCTTCTTTTTTTCCTGTTTGGCAGGCTAATAAGGGGTTAAACTCACTTAACCCCTCATTTATCCTCTTGCCAAACGCAGCCTAAGGGACTATTACTTGTAGTTTTAGTGAAAAAACAACCTAAATCATGCATTATAATCCACAACAAATCAAAAAAAAATTAGTACACATAAAATACACTACATTAATGGCTTTTTGTTAATTGATAAAAAATAGATAATATAATTAGTCATCATCTGTTGAAATTAGAAACTTCGGCAGGAGGATGTATAAAATATTTCACGTGGGATGATAGTTTGTGATTTGTTCAAAAACAATTAAATTCACAGGTTATAATCCACAGAAATCCAAAAATTTCGATGACACCCATAAAACATCGTATGGGGATAACTTTGTATTTTGGTCAAAAACAACCAAATTTAATGAGTATATACATGAAATATCCTACGTGTGCAGAAATCTATGAATTGGTTGTAAATGAGTATCAAGTAGCAAAAACTTCCATACATACACATGGAAGGAGGGGGAAAAAAGTGGCAACACCTCATTTTGGTAAATGAAATGAACTACCAGGAGATTAATTAGCGAGTGGCTAATGACACTAGTCAAATCACATGGATAGATCTCACCAACGTTTATCTTTCAGCAGCACATTTTACTGACAATTCGTGACCGATACTTGTACATATAATACAAAACTAATGCAAACTGAATTCAGCTTCAAAAATCAAGTAACTGAAATGCGTACACACAAGTTGCGTCACTTTGTTGCTTCAACGAAAATAATAATAATTTCCAAATCCAAACTATGTCAAATGAGTTCTCAAGATACGCACACTCCCATAGCAAGAAACATGCACATAGATCCACATGTACACATACCTGCAACTACTAATGACAGTAACAACATTAATAATCAATATAAGGCGCTGGTCGCCACCGAAGTTGGGATTTTAGCTTAAACCCCCTAAAAAAACTCCCTTTCTCTGTTACCATCATTATATGCCAAAGCCCTCAACAGAGACCACTAACAGCCTTTAGCTAACCGGAGGATTACAACAAGGCAAAAGAATTTATTATAAAGTGCAATTAACAACGGTTTTGCCAGTACTTTTACATCTGCATGTTACCTGAGGAATTGAGCTGCCAATTCGAACCACCCAGGGATGCTCAGCTGCCGAATCTAACGTCAGCCTCTGCCTTGGATCTGCATTACAAGCACATTTTCAACGAACTGATGTCTGATGTTTAAATGCATGAAACAGAACTAAAATTCAAAGGTAAGAACTGAAAGTGATTGAAGTAAAAAGATTTTACAATATGAAGAAACAACAAGATTGGGCACGTGCACAGTCAGAAAGGTGAATAATACTGTGGCCAGGAATGAAATCAGAGGTTGGATCATCGAAGGTTCCCAGACTCAAGTCTGGATTCCAAAGTGCAGATGGAAGGGCTAAATACAGATGTCAGCAAGACTACCTTATTTTGTTCAAAAATAGAAGGATATATTCATCATGTACAATTTGCTTGTTTAGCTACATGATTTTCTGAGAGGCTCTACATTGTTTTCAATTAGGTCAAAGATCAGGCAGTTCTGCGTGAGTCTATGTTGGATATGTTCACTGGCGGCTTACCCCGGACGCCAATATAACATGTCAGCTTCCTTGCTCCAGGTAAGTGAAAAAAAGTCACTCCCATCGTTAAACATTGGTCATCATAATATGAAAAACATTCCCTTCTTTAGGTGTATACATGGAAGTGACAGGGATGGTCAACTATCTATGTTACACAGATACGGTTGCCGGTAATGAATACAAGAAATGACAAATTTGTAAAATGTTGGATATGGGGACACAACCGAATATATACATATTGAAATTTTGCGGGGTGACAAATTTTGATTTGGGTAAAAAATGACCAAAATCATGGGTTATAGTCCACAATTTCGGAAATTACGGGGTACAAATAAAATATTACCTGTGACAACTTATGATCGAAAAGGACCAAAGTAGTGGGTTATACTCCATAGAAATTTAATAATTTTGAAGTATGCATAAAATATTCCACACGGGACTATAATATATGATTTTATTAGAAAATGTCAAATTCATGTATAGTCTACGAAAATTTTCAATTTCTGAGTATGTATACGATATAGTATACTGTTGTGATTAGTTAAAACAACCAAAATCATGAGTTATAATCCATAGAAATTCCGGAATTTTATGCTACGCAAAATATTCTACACAGGACGACAACTTGTCATTTAGTCCGAAATGACTAAGATCATAGGTCGAAGTCCACAGAAATTTGGAAAATTTTGAAGGCGCATAAAAAATTTATGCAAAAACTTGTGATTTGGTCAAAACAATTGAAATCATAGGATTATAGTCCATAGAAATTCGGAAATTACATATAAATTTGAGTACGCATAAAAATCATAGGTTATATACAGAAATTCAAAAATATGAGAGTACGTATAAAGTATTCAATGCAGTATGACAATTTGTAATTTGGACGAAGTCAACCAAAATCATGGGTTACAGTCCATGGTTATTCAAAAAACAATCAAGATCATAGGTTATTCCACAAAATTCAGAAACTTTTGTGTACGCGTAAAATATTCCACCATAGAAGAAAATTAGTAATTTTATCGCAAACAATAAAAGCTGTGGATTATATTCTAGGGAAACTCGAGGAATTCGAAGTACATATAAAATGTTCTCCATTGGATGACAACTTGTGATTAGGTCGAAAAAAAATCATGGGTTACAAACCATGGTAATTCGTAAAAAACCAAAATCATGAGCTATAGTCCACAAAAACTTGTAAACTTTTGAGCACGCATAAACTATTCTATCCTGGATGAAATTTTAGAATTTTATAAAAAATGACCAAAACGATAGGTTACTATCTCGAGAACAAATTTAGTGATATGCATAAAATATTCTATGCATGAAGATAATTTATAATTTTTCTAAAAGATTCCAAAATCACGGGTTATAGTCCATGATTTTTCGGAAAACAACCAAAATCAATGGTTACTTTTCAAAACTTTGAAGTATGCATACAATATTCTATCTCAGATGAAAATGTATGATTTTGTCAAAAACAGAAAAAATCATGTATTATGGTCTAGAAAATTCTTGAATTGCAGACTACACATAAGATATTTTATACAGCACGATAACTTGAGATGTGGTAAAAAACAATAAAAATCACGGGTTCTAGTCCACAGGAATTTGGAAATTTTTAGAACACTAAAATAATTTATGCAGGGCGATAACTTGTGATTTGGTCGAAAACAACCAAAATCATATGTTACAGTCCATAAAAAACTAGGAACTTTTGAGTACATGTAAAATATTCTATCTAGGACAAAATTCTGAGATTTGGTTAAAAATGACCAAAATCATGGGTTATAATCTACATGAATTTGAGAATTTTGAAGAACCTATAAATTATTCTATGCAAAAAAGAATTTGAGATTTTATTGAAGCCGGACAAAATCACGTGTTATGTGCACAAATATTTTTAAATTTCAAAGTGTATATATATATATTATATAAATAGTATATATAATAATATATAATCTATAATATATCTATATATATATATATATAATATTACTATTCTCAGATGAAATGTATGATTTGTCAAAAACAGAAAAAATCATGTATTATGGTCTAGAAAATTCTTGAATTGCAGACTACACATAAGATATTTTATACAGCATGATAACTTGAGATGTGGTCAAAACAATAAAAATCAGCGGTTCTAGTCCACAGGAATTTGCAATTTTAGAACACTAAATAATTTATGCGGGGCGATAACTTGTGATTTGGTCGAAACAACCAAAATCATAGGTTACAGTCCATAAAAATTTAGGAACTTTTAAGTACATGTAAAAATATTCTATTAGGACAAAATTCCGATATTTGGTTAAAAATGACCAAAATCATGGGTTATAATCTACATGAATTTGCGAATTTTGAAGACACGCTATAAATTATTCTATGCAAAAAAGAATTTGAGATTTTATTGAAACCGCGACAAAATCAAGTGTTATGCGCACAAATATTCCTAAATTTCAAGGTATGTATATATATTATATATATATATATATATATATATATATATATATATATATATATATATATTGTAAACAACAAACAAATATTAAGTCCAGAAATATTTTTGAATTTTGAAGTATATATATGATATTTCAATCGAAAACAAACAAAATCACGAGTTAACTCTAGAAATATGAGAAATTTTTAGTACACATACAATATTTCATGCGGGTGACAACTTGCATTTTTTTACTAAATAACTAAAATCATGGGTTATAATCCATTGAAATTTAAGAATTTTGAAGTACACATAAGATATAATATACGGGGTGACAACTTGCCATTTGGTTGAAAACAACGAAAATCTTGAGTTATAGGCTACTGACATTTTAACACATTAAGTAGGAATAAAATATTTTATGCAGGGTGAAAGCTAGTGATTTGGTCGAAAAGGATCAAATTCACGGGCTATAATCCACAGAATTTAGGAAATTTTGGAGTACACAAAATACTCTAAGTGGGACTGACAATTTGTAATTTTGTTGAAAATAACAAATCATGTGCTAAGTGTACAAATACTCTTGAACTTCATGTGTTATTGTCCACAAAATTTATTCAATTTATACGCGGCACTAATTTGTGATTTTGTCGGAAACAACCAAAATCACAAGTTATAGTCAACAGAGATTTTGAAATTTTTGAGTATGCATGAAATATTTTTTGCAGGGTAAAAACATGTGCTTTAGATAACATTGATAATTTGTTATGAATATCTTTCAAGCATAACATATTTTTTGAGCACTGCCTAGTGCCTAAGGTAATTTACATTGGATGACAATTTTAGATTTCATCAAAGACAACCAAAATCACAAGTTATAGTCAACAGAAATTTGGATATTTTAGAGTATGCATAAATTATTTTTTGTGAGCTGAAAACTTGTGATTTGCTCAGAAACGACCAAAATCATAGGTCACAGTCCACAAAAATTCAAGAATTTTAGAGTAATCAAAAATATTCTACGTGGAACGAGAACTTGTAATTTGGTCAAAAACAACCAATATTACAGGTTTTAGTTCACAAAAATTTAGAACTTTTTGAGTAGGCATAAGTATTTTACGCGGGGTGCAACTTTTGATTTAGTTGAAAACGATCATCATCATGGACTACAATCCATTGAAATTCAAAAATTACGTAGTACGCAGAAAATATTTACGCAGGGTAACAACTTGTGACTTGTTCGAAAACGACCAAAATTAATGGTCAGTTTATGATAATCAGAAAACAATCAAATTCGTGGGTTAAAGTCTACATAAATTCCAAATCATTTGAGTACGCATAAAATATTCTATTCGGAACAAATTATGTGATTCATCAAATATAACCAAAATTGTGGGTCCATACAAACTTAGGAATTTCAGAATACGTATAAAATATTCTACACATGACTATAATATGTGATTTTCTTTAAAAAAACCAAATTCGTGGATTATAATTTACAAAGGTCTTCAATTTCGGAGTACACATAAGATATTTTATATGGGACGATAACTTCAGATTTTGTCAAAGACAACCAAAATCACTAGTTAAAATAGCCCAAAGAAATTTGGAAATTTTTGTGTGAGTAAATTATATTATGTGGAATAACAACTTGCGATTTTGTCGACGATAAATAGAATCATGGGTTAGTCCAAAGTAATTCGTAAAAAACCAAAATCTTGGTCTAAAAATTCGTAACTCTGGATTACCCATAAAATATTCTATCAGGGATGAAAATTTAGGATTTGGTCAAAACCGGCCAAAATCATAGATTATTGTCCATGAAAATCTGGATTTCACACATAATATTTTACGCGGAAAGATAATTTGTGATTTTTTTAAAAATGGTCTAAATCATGCGCTATAATTAACGAAAGGTATGCATACAATCAAAGTTATCAAAGGCGCGCGCCTCATACGCCTTATGACGTAGGGCAGTGGCGATGCTCCCCGCATTTAAGACGGTAGCACCTTTTTGCACCTCATAAGGATGTAGAAGCGCGCAAGGCACACATTAGGCATAGCCTCATATATTTTTCTTTAACATTTCAATCAAGTGGATAATTCATATGCCAAATAGAAAAATAAATCAATTAG